GGTTTGTATGTAATCACTAAGAAGCAAGAATAATATAACATCGATGTAATATTTTGTTTTCTCAAACTCTTATCAAATCCTTAACTTAACGTTACAGCTAGGCGTTCTTCAGGTGAAATAGTTTCTCGGAAGTTACTGTACTTCTTCAACTGATATACTTTGCTTAATGTGTATTCAAATGTATCTTGCTTCATGCGAAAATAACCAAAATACTGTGACTCGTCCTCTTGTGAATCACTCCATATATGAGAAAATTCATCAAACGTTTGTCTTTTTGGTAAAATTCCACTAATCCACTCTTTTCTCCTATTCTGTGCTCGTCACCTAGCCAGTAAAGGAGTATCAAACGCGTACAGATCACATAAATCTTCAGACAGCGCCATGACAGAACGCGAATGGCATCGGCCGAACACGCAGCCAAAGGACGCGCAGTGAACGCACGAATTCGGACGAACAGATTCGCACAGATTCGGCCGAATCCCAGTTCGCAGGTTTCCGCTTCCAATGGACGACTAGCCTTAGAATGATCAAGTCAAGGAGGATGAGATGGGCATGGCATTTAGCACGAATGAGGGAGAAGAAGAATTTATATAGAATGTTCGTGTGAGAGCCAGAAGGAAAGAGACCACTGGGAAGACCAAGGCGTAGGTGGGTGGGCAATTAAAATGGATCTTAGAGAGATCGAGTGGGTTGGGATGGTATGGGTCAGATTGGTCTGGCTCAGGATAGGGACGAGTGGAGGGCTCTTGTGAACACGGTAATGAACCTTCGGGTTCCATAAAATGCTGGAGAATTTTTTAATAGCTACATAATTGACGGCTCCTCAAAGGGTTCAGCTCCATGCGTAAGTAAGTAAGTATTGTTTCTTTTTATTGCTAGTGGGGTGGTACAAAGTCCCTTGTACTGCGGCCACTTCTGGCCTATTGTACCAGCCCCAGATGATAGGTGAGGGTGATTGTGGAGCAATTGGTGGAATGAAGATTGGCAGGGGAAACCGAAGTACTCGGAGAAAACCCGCCCCAGCGCCACTTTGACCACCACAAATCCCACTTGACCAGACCAGGGATCGAACCCGGGCCGCCGCGGTGGGAAGCCAGCGACTAACCGCTTGAGCTATGG